TCGAAGTGATCAACTATTATGCCAACGTCTTGCTGAACGGAAAAGCTGCTGCCCTCAGGCATGACTTGTGCAGACGTTAGAAATGAAAATTCAAAAGGAGCCTCTGCTTCTGATCCAGACAGGCTCAAAGTCTGCAAATTCATACATGAGTAGAACGATCCCAGTGGGCAGGAGAATGAAGCTGTCTTACTGGAAACATTTCGCATCACTTAAGGAAGTGGGGATAAAAAGAGTAATTTATAATTCAAAATAAATGTGCCGCAAAAGTAGGTAGCATCTGAATCAATTTTAAAAGAATACATTCTATTTGACATATATCATATTGCCATTTTTACTCTACTTTTTCCCGATCTAAACGAAAGTATCTTATATGAGCTGGTAGTCTCGAAAACCTATTCGAAACAGAAAAAAATAAAGTATCCTACACAGGAAACTGTCATCCAAGCAAATCGTTATTCTGATACTCCTAATTAGAATAAGCGAAAAAAGGTGAATGGGCGAAATAAACCAAAAAACATTACTCTATTCCATATTGTGTGCATTTCAAGAGTTTGAATAATGCTAAGGGTCAATATTGCTGCATACGCAAAATAGACGATTGTGCGAACTGGAAAGCACTATGTGTATATAGACAAGTTACATAAAATCGGTTGTCATACGACAAATACGAGGCGTAGCAACAGTGTAGGCGTAATAACTCCATTGAATACATCTAAAATAAGAATAAAGAACTAATGAAATACATATTGGTCTATGGATAAACCGATAAGAAACCTGAACGGTGACTAATAACACAAAATAGATGAAGAATTCAAAGTCTGATTGTCAAATTATGACGCAATAATCCTAAAGATCAAAAACATCATCGTCAGAGCTTTTAGCTGTGCAAGAAATTCACGGGAATATCAAATCAAATCAAACGGTTGTGCTATCACTCCTCTTTATGTCCTGGACCCTCTACCTATTTCCTACTCTCATGTCTCGCCCTCGTCCTACCACAGCTACCGACTTGTTAATATTACACCCCTCAATAGATGTGCCCTTTTGGCGAATTTACCGTGGCGTCATCACACCCGCTGTTTGCCTTACCCCCCTCCCCTTTGAGTATTTGATCCGACTGGGGCCTCCTGTCATAATCTGCTCGTAGATCCGTTTCTTATCCTTCTGGTTGACCGATTTCACTCGGCTCCAGCCCCAGTGTACACCTTACTTCATGCGCTATTTCTAAAGTCTTCATTAGCACACTGAATGTCGCCTCACCTGCAGAAAAGCTAGGCATTGCCTTTACGCATCATCACCTTAATTAAGCCCGTGTATCCTGAGAAAATTGTGGAAATCTATCTCTGGTCGCCTACTGCATCTCGAGTGGATTATAAGTAAATTTGGCCATAATGTCACATTTATGTGACGGTCGTGATTATCCATCTCTCTAGTCACATGACCGTTAGGCCCCAAAAGTTGTAATTGTTTCTTCAAGCAGATTACACTTATTGAGAACGTCTTCGCTTTATTTCCGAAACGTCCTCATTCTCTTCTTCCTTGCGATCCATTTTCCTCTGGTTTACGATAAGTCCTTGATGCAGGCGTCTCCGTTTTGCTTGCCTTGTATCCTTTTTCTCGTGAGTTTGATTAGGCAATAGGCAAAGTTATCACTAGCTCTGCCTTCTTCTAATCTCCTGTTTATTACATTTTATCCGAAGGATGTCAATTGCCTTCCTAATCTTCCCTTTCTTAGTGAGGGGCCAGGTAAAAATGCGTTCCTCGATGTCTTCTTGCCAATATAACCAAGTTGCGAAAACAAGGTCAAACAACTAGTATATAACGAAAGGAGAATGCGACCATACAAGAGGCCACACGATCTTGATCTTCATAAGTTCGATTAAACGGACTGTTGATTAAGTCATTACAATGCTCCTCCACAGAGGCTGAACGAATTGACTCGAAAAAAGGTAAAATGTGATCAGGTTCCAGATACGAAATTGTCTATTTTTCTTAGCTCCATAGGTTTTTTTGTCCTTAATATTGGTTATATCGAGATGCTCTTTGTAATTGGGATGCATTCAGAACCACCAATTCTTGTTGGCTTGAGTCGGTCTATGCATCTCAGATAGGCCTTTAGATAAATATTGAAACGTTCTACTAAACGGTTAGCTTGCGGGCGGTAGGCGTACGTGTAAATCCTTTCCATTCTTAATAATTTAGATAGCTAGGCGAAAATAACGGATTCTAACTGTCGGTCTCTGTTGGTTGTGATAGTTGTCGGTGTGCCAAATCTGAAAACTCAGTGAGACACAAAGATATTGTCAACAATCTCGGCCTGTATGTCCAAAATGGGAATGGCTTCTAGCCATCGTGTGAAACTGTCCATAATTGTGAAGACCTAACGGCTTACTTTAGAAGATGAAAAAGGACCCACGATGCCCATGTGGATATGGTTGAAACTATCTGAATCTGGCTCAAAGCTGCCGATAAGTCTTATTATGCTTCTGCACCTTGGCAGGCTTTAGTCCACTTACCGATGTCTTCTTACATCTTCGGCCAGACAAAACGGTATTCAATGAGCTTTTTGGAAGCTAATGCGCCGAGAAGTGCCAAGTCGTGTATGGCTTAAAACACTTTATCCGCATGTAAAGTGTTACCAAAGATCTATGTCTAGCTGTAGACACGTTTCACCAAATTTGTAGTCCCTTGTAGTCCACTCGTGCCATATTCAGCCTTTGCCACTTTTTTGTCGTCTCCTGACTGTTCACTCCTCTGAGCCTCTATCATGGCTCTATAGTCAATGCCCACTATTGCAGAAATGATGTTATGCTTAATGCTAAAGAGGGCATCTGCAACCACATTGTCTGCCCTCTTTGTCTGGCGCACATCAATAGTCAACTGTCAAATATAATCAAGATTGCGGGTCTCGCGTGGCGAGTGCTTGTATGAGGTATTCATTAAGGCTACGCAAAGAGGTTTGTGGTCCATGAGGATATAAAATTGTCTAACAGTGGAGCATATGCTTTAAACACTTAAACGAAGAGTACATAGCTTAAAATTCACGACCAAAAGTGCTATAACGAGCCTTAGATGCACTGAGTTTGCGTGAAAAAAGGAAAGCGGTCGTGACTATCCATCAACGACTTGATATAGAACTGCGCCTAGCGCTTGGTCAGAGGCATCTGTCAGATCTAGCGCTACCTTTGGATTCAGTTGTGCTAGTAATAAAGCGTTCGCCAACGCCATCTTGGCCGGTGTGAAGACACATTTTGCGTCCTCGAATACAACAATCTCATTCTTTTTAGTCTTTAAAGCTTCCTCCAGTGGGCTCAGAATGTCAGGATAATTGGGAATGCAGCGAAGGTAAAAATTCACCATGCCGAGGAAAGCGCGTAAGAATTTAACAGTATATTGCAAGGGAAAATTTCTTATTCATCTTAATCACTCATGAAATGAGTACATTCCGTGCTGATGAATGCAGTGAAAGAAAAGTTAATGTGAAGGTGCCAAAAATTTACTTCTTAAGAGCTATCACGAAATTATGATAAGTTAGATTTTCAAAGATATTCGTCAGATGATGTTGATGTAGTGCAATATCACTGCTGGGGATAAAGATAGTGTCCGTATAAACGAATACACCATCTAGGCCCTGACTAACTTTATCCATCAAACGTCCGAAAGTTTGTGTGGCGTTGCTGAGATCAAACTGCATTCTGGTGAACTCGAAAAGGCCAAAAAGGTAATAAAGGCAGTTTTGTAAGTGCTCTGGGAGTACTGGCATCGGGTAATAAGCAGATTTGAGATCTATCTTCGAGAAGATGGTTTTATCTTTTAAGGTTAAGGCAAAGTCCAAGAAAGAGAATGCCAGACCTATTACGTGAATTAAATTTGAGAAAGTATCCGCGAGGTCTCCATCCACCTTTTTCTTTCTTCAGAAACATAATAAGTAGAGACATCCATGGACTCTTCTTCGAGGCGGATGATACCGGCGTCCATTGAGTCCTTAAAAACAGACCTTGTTGCCCTAAAGATATAAGGAGCAAGATAGTGTGGCCCCCAGTATGGTCGCAGTCTACTTTCGAATTATAGAAGTGGGTTGACCTTGTCGCAATTTGGTCTTGTTGTAAGGGCGACTTAGTAGAACGCACCTAGTCCGAAATCCTCTACCATAGTAGTTATCATAATTCCCAGCATCAGATAGTGGGCTTGGTAGATTCTCAAACGTTTCGCCGGCATCGTCGGATTAGCCGATCGAAAGAGAGGGGGTGGAGGTGAATAAGTGTAATGAGGCCACACTAGATTTGCCACAAAAGGGCACATTTTGATAAGTGGAATGTAAACAAGTGAGAAGTTGTGATAGGGCGGGTGTTGGATAAGAGGGAAAAGAATAGATAGATAGGACAGGACAGAAAAAGGAGTGATAGTGTAACCGTTTTCGGCAGAATATTGGTGGAAGGATTGACTTCACTTGTCTCTGACGTGTTCGTAGCTTGGTGCGGAGAATGGCAGCATTCAGTGATGCTGACTACGATACCGGCGATGTACCAAGCTCACTGTCTGATGCTGAGAATTATGATAACTATCATGACAGAGGACTTCGGACTAGGTACGTTCTACTAAGTCACCCTGACAACAAGGTCAACCCACTTCGTTACCTTAAGTTTGTCAGGCGCGAGTTGTCCATGCTACTGAAAAATGGACGTCCAGTTATCTCAATGTAATGTATAACCGCGTGATTTGCTGCAGAGAATCTCCTGAGAAGTGCGTTCCATGCTTCTTTATCAAACCAGAGTACCCGAGAGAAAATGCGCTGATACCGACTAGGCATAGACGCATCTTTGCGAGGCTGTGTGAGTAATGCGGTTAAGAAATTGATGCCCAAGATGGCGAAAGACAGGTTGGCTATGAGGAAAGTCCATTTGAATATCTTTTCGAGAGTGAAATCTACTTGTACCTCTTTTGTACAGTATGTCGTGATTGTTGTGTTGTTTGCTGCTACTAGAGGGTAATGGAACTTTCTATCTCCTGCCGTTCTGTGAAGGAGGTATAAGGCTGACTTCGACCCCTGTGTCTACCAGATACTTTTGGCTGAACCTTTTGTAGTAGACAAAGAGAAGACGGATATCTAGAGTGACCCCTGAGCAGGTTGTCGCAGTAACCTGCTGGAATACCAGTTTTTCGACCGTGCAAGCCTTTGCTGACTCTATGACCGTCTTGCCAAGTGCAAGGAAATACACAACCACGCGCATCATAAAGGAACTTTATATTTACAGTACCATGAAAAAGAGCTGGAATAGCGCCTCACTCAAGGCGCATGAGCATGGAATGAGACTTCCTTAGACTGAAATATCATGTTTTGTACTTTTAATATCTGCATCATCGTTGTTTCACAACCATGAAGTTAGTAATCTTTGACCGTTGCTATAGTCTGGTTTGCGAGATGATTGACTCCATCATGTCGCCAGTGATTCTAGCAGCTTTCAAAGATGGTCGTATCCCGATGGAGTAGCCTCATTCAGAGCTGTTGAAGCATCGGATCAAGGTCAGACGATGGTCCGGTCGAAGAGAGGCCAATAATACTGAAGGTTTCTTATTTTATAGCGCTTCTGTATCCAACAAAGCTTCCATTCTCTGCTGCTCTAAGGGTGAAACCTGCTCGACAATACAATGTCTGAGTTTTTCGTAACAATCCGGTTTTCCCCTGCCTTGCAACAGATGTTAAGCGAGGTTTGTTATGTCGACTGGCAGATGCTCGAAGACGATGAGGAGCTTGGCATCGCTGCTCTGGATTCGATGTGCCCGAAAAACTAACTCGACAAGTTCAAACAAAATATCGTGGTTAGATCTGTTAAAACTGAGCACCATAGCGTTGACGGCACCAATTTAGACAATGTGGCTGTCTTAATAGCAGACGGGATGTTCTCTATATGCTGTAATTAACATAAGAAATAGCGAGCCGACAGTATGCAGCAAGTAGAAATTGTTTGTAAGGGTTCTATTCCGTTGGGTCCACCCGTTTAGTTATCCAAATTGTTCACTAAAATTTGTGCTTGGCTTTGCGCTACTGTGTAGGGTACCCCGACCCCGTATAAAACAAGAAACGAAACAGGCGAGGATTCAGAGTGAGAAAGCAAAGACGATGGCGGAGTGTCGATGCGAAAGAGCAGTGTTCGGTCAGATGGTCGCTACGACGCAATAGGAGCGGCGAAGAACAGTTCCTAGTTTAAGGAGTTTGACTTGAAAATAATCCTGAGTACTTGTAATGTCATGTACTTATTGGTTTAACATGGAGGCTCGACGGTATAGTAAGGTTCACTTAACCTCGGCAGACGTAGTGCCGATATATCACGCTATGAGTGTTGCGTAAACTAAGAGATAACTGCTTACTGGCTAGATTTGACTGTGTAGTAGTCACTATAAGTCGAGTCTTGGCAAGAATACTTAAATAAGAGGGCCTATGAGATGCAAAAAAAACTTCTAAGAATAGGAATGGCTTACGCGTCTCATTTGTACCAGGAAAAGTGGATTCTTCTTGAAAATATTGCAGTGAAACATTTGAAAGCTGGAACATGCTCATGAGAGAATCTTTTGATTTCTTATTAGCATTCTTATTTGTGAACAGAGACCAAGTGTCTCGGATTAAATTGAATACGACTGTAAGGGTCCAATTATGTGTGGAACGTTCTAATGAATCCGGATTCCAGGTAATTACTAGTTCTGCAGAAGTGTCATCACAACGGCCTTTAGACGAAACGGTTGTTTGCCAATTGGATGAGTTAATGTAGAATAATTCGGTCAAAAGTTTTTCGTTCTAAAAAATATTGATATTATAATAAATACGAGTAACTATAAATAGACTAGGCATAAGCCTAAGAATGAGTAAAATTCTATAAAAATAAATAGCCGAGCCAGTGGAGACAGAAGGTAAATTGTTTGAAATCTGGAGACGCCATTTCAGAAAGAGTCAAATGAATACTTATTGCAGGCCAAAATAACAATTGAATAAAGATTGACGTAGTTATGAGGATGGACTGTATACTAAGTAAAATTATAAAATACAAATTGGCCTAGCACATAAAACAGCTGGTAAATATAAAAAGGTTAATTAAGTCTGTGTAAACAAATACACTTAACTGCACTCGATGGTGTTGGGATAAACGAAAGTAATGTAATAAAGAATTTGCAAGCATGCGCCAGATTTAATTTAAAATCAAATCTTAGATACAATATAATGAGAGCGCCAACTTTGATTTTATAATAAGGTCAATGGAATTAGCTCAAAAGAAGATTATATTTACTCGGAATATTATTTCTACGTTCTACAATGCAAAGGACAATATGCACTATCTTATAAGATATAAGCAATATTTTTGTAGATGCTACCTCATTAAACTATAATAGGTATCAAATTATATTAAGCAACTTATTCGTAAACTTATTTTCGGGATAAGTTGTTTTCGAGACTATCAGTAATTCCTGACTAAGAGCTAAGTCACCCTGGGTCGCTTAAGATGATTTAAGGACTGATAGTTGAGTTTTTCCACAATGGGGTAAATTCAATTAGACTTGCCTACGAAAAATCAATACCGCCCAGGATTGACTAGTCTTAGCTTAGCTTAGCTCTAATCAGCACCCATAGAGTCGTATCATGGTGACATTACAAGTCGAATGTACAGATATGGATGCGTCACAAAAAAATATGAATTTCAAGGCAAATCAGGCCCCAACAAAATCACATTCGTATTAGAATTCATAAATTATTATAATAGAAAGAGTACATGTCATTTCAATCATTCAAATGAACACTATTTAATAACAAAGATTGAGGAATAAACAGTTAGCTTCGTGCAAATCAGTAGTTACACCGCCATAGGGAGGCTTTTGTGCTTAGGCAGATGAATACACTCTTTCCTAAATTTAGCATTGAAACTAACGAAATCGAGTTTAGCTTGTGTTCGTCTAAGAAAATCAGAATAAGCATGACTGAAACAATGGGCAGAAATGACGGCCTAAGACAGGTTATATACAAGCTCCCAGAATTTTTGAAGACTGACTTTTTAAAGCATTTCAGAAATTAGGAAACAGCATAGACGGGACAGTCCACAATATTTAAGAATTGTCTTCATAGGTTGAATGAAATAAGGGGTATGGCTTGCTGAACAGAAACAATATTACTTTTATTTTTAGCAAATATACGAATCAGAATGTGATCATAAGCAAATTGCAATTGCACTGCATATCAATAAATCAAAATACTTCCATTAGCATGTTGAGGAAATTTTTACGATATATTCTAAAATTCCAACATGTTAAAGGACGTTCTGAAAGAATACACCAGAGCTTAAATGACAATTAAGATTTATATGCTATCTTTTATGCCTTAATCCATCATTAGTTATGAAAATGTAATGATAGTCAACCATGAGATGTTTGCGCTAGGAGGCCAGTATAAAACTGATGATTTTGAAAATCATGGTGAGGGTTTATTCTATGATTCACCACGTAAAACTACTAAATGTCTAATAAAAATGGCATGAGTGATAATAGAACGGAATTTTCTCAAATATTTACTTGTCAAGGCGATACAGTAAAGAGCTAAACATGAATGATGGCTACATTGTCAAATACTATTCTTAAATTATATATATATAAATATAAATATGGCTGAGTACCATCTATTGAAGTCTTAAATACCGAGAAAGGATATTGGTTAAAAGGATTAAACATCATACCTTAGTAAAATAAGGAATCTTTGCAAGAAAGTTGGTTTTAAGCAAAAGACAAATTTGTGAACCATTTTTGACAATGAAAGTTGGGATCAAAGGCTCAGGAGATGGTTGAGTAGAAGTCGTTGAAGCTGTGGTTGTAGTCGTTGAAGCTGTGGCTGTAGTCGTTGAATCTGGGGCTGAAGTCGTTGAAGTCGAAGTAGTTTCAGATGTATCGGTGGAGGTGATAGATGTAGTCGTTGTGACGGGGGGAACGGTTATCGTTATAGGTTCTTGACCACTTACAGTTAATACTAAAATAAAGTTAGTAAATAAACATAAATACCAAAAATGCAAAGAAAATAAATTGAGAACATCTTGAAAGATAGAAGGAAGAACAGGGAGGAAGACAGCCGAAATAATTTTCAATCACCACGCTCCAATTGTCAATGAATAGATTTTTTAAAT